TGAATATTTGAAGATGGGATGGAGATCTGGGTAAAGACTTATGAGTTTTGAGAGAAAAATTGGCAAGAGTTCGGTGTGGGGATGGATGAAATAAGGATGAAATCGGTTGAACAAATATATATATATATATATATATATATATATATATATATATATATATATATATATATATATATATAGCAGAAGGGAAATCAGTATTAGTGGATTGGGCCTTGGAGTGTTCGGTCCTTAATGGGCCATTTCTTTGTGTGTTCGGTCATACCAAGACCGAAAACACTTCTTGTTTGATTTAAATGGTCGAACACCCCATTTGATTTGATTCTCAATACCGAATTTAGCTTTTAATTACTTTCCAAGACCGAATTCCTTATAATATGGTGTATATTTATGTTACAAGCCCTTCATTTTTTATCTATGTTACCTTATACTACCCTAAATTAACTTAGGTTTCAAACCACACTTAGTTATTTAGCTTATACACAAGCCTTAAAGGCTATAGAGGATACAATGCAACAAGGAGTGCAATGTAGATTCACTTGTGCTAGGTTAGGGTTTAGACTTTGCTAGGTTTAAAATTTCGAGTTGTGACAGTATTGAGGTCAAATGTTTTTTAGACTGGAAGGCTGTAACGCCCCGATTCTCAGGTATTGATTTAATGTGTGAGTTCTTGATTTCAAGGGCTACTCGACGAGTTTATTGCCCTACTCGTCGAGTAGTAGCGGGTTGGTCCACGTATTTTAATGACCTACTCGCCGAGTCCAAGGAGGGACTCGACGAGTAGGAGCTGGCAGATGAAACCCTAAATTTCGGGGTTTTGCACCCTATTTAAAGGATCATTGGCCTCTCCCAGCCTCCTCTTTACTGCCCCTTGTCCCTCTCAAACCCTAAATCGTGTGTGTGTTCTTTGGTGTGTTCAAGCTTTGAGGAGGAACTTTGGAGAAGGAAACACTTGGGGAAGCAAGGAAATCAAGGCTAGGAACTCGTGGGAAGCTAAGAGATTCATCAGTTGTCACTCTCTGGAAGGTATTAAGCTGTTCCTTTAGCTCATCTCTCTTTTAACCTCTTTTGGATGGGTTTTATGAAAGGCTCCCCATGTTTAAGCTAAGATCTGAAGTTGTAACTTCAGATCTGGACTCCCTTTGACCTCTAGATCCATAAAGTCATCAGCCTTGCCTAGTAGGAGCCTTCCCTCAAGTGTGAGACTTCATTGCAAGCTTAGTTTTGCCATTTAAGGGTCTTAAAGCTTTGCATGCACGTAAAGTTTACGACTTTACGTGATAAACATGCCCTAGAAGCTTGGATCTGTAATCTGGAACCTTGCCATGGCTTAAAAGCGTCTGCATGGATAAAGGTCTGCAAGGACTCGGCGAGTTGGATGAACAACTCGGCGAGCCCGTTGAAGATGGTCATGAACTCGGCGAGTTGGATGAACAACTCGACGAGTCCATTGAAGATTGCCTTGAACTCGGCGAGTCGTTCGAAGACTCGGCGAGTCGGCTAGGGTTTCTCCCAATTCTTGGACACGTATGAACTCGGCGAGTTAAAGGGGAACTCGACGAGCCAATCAAGGATTTCACGACTTCTTGAGTTCAGGAAGGACTCGACGAGTCGGTGAACTGCACTCAACGAGTCGAGTCAACATGGACTGTTGACTTTGACTTGGACCAACGGTTGACCAGTTGACTTCTGAGGGTATTCTGGTAATTTGGAGATTTATGAAAAAAGGGTTTTATGGTAACTATAGGTGGTGGAGCTCGTGTTGGTGATCCGGGAGTTGAGCTTTCTAGTTTCAGACGACAGTTGCAAGGTGAGTTATCCTCACTATACTAAGGGGTCTAAGGCACCAAGGTCGGCCCATTGGGTGTGTTATCCTAGCAGTATTGGATGTTGAGTATGAGTCAGTGTTGCATGTTAGTGGTTATTCCAGTTAGGTGGATCTGTAGGACTAACTATGATGTTATATGATTATTGCATGCTCATTAGTTATGTTATATGTTACATGTTATGTGGGATGGGTAGAGGTTGTACTGCTCCGTGCGGTAGCCAACAAACCCTAGAGTATTCCAGATATGAGCTGAGGGCCCGGTAGGCATTCCAGACTCATACTGAGGACTCGAGAGCATTCCAGATATGAGCTGAGGGCCCGGTAGGCATTCCAGACTTGTACTGAGGGCTCGATGGCATTCCAGATACGCGCTGAGGGCCCGGTAGGCATTCCAGACTCGTACTGAGGGCCCAGGGGTAATCCAGCTCGTAAAGATGTGGACCCATTGTATGCTGTTTCAGTTTGTTATGATATGTTATTACTGATATGGTTATGTGGACTGTATGTGTATCGGTATTTTGGGGGTAACTCACTAAGCTTTCGGGCTTATAGTTTCAGTTTATTGTTTCAGGTACATCAGGGGATCGCGGCAAGGCGAAGGCATGATTGTACAGCTCCTCATATTATGTTTATGTTTCTGGGAATACTCTGATAAATAATATTTTGAAAACAAAGTTGTAATGTTTTGATGAACTTGACATGTTTTAAAAGTTTAAATTTGTTTGAAATTTTTGGGTGTTACAAAGGCATTCAATGAAGAGATGCTCATTATGCATCTTTGGCTTGGTTCGGTATTGATTAATAAGTTATTTCATTTATTTAGATTTGAACATTTTGTGACATAGTGAAAGCGTTATCCAACGTATGGCCCATGTCGAAACTTGGGGTCACATTGTGTTATTTGAGTTTGGACATCTGCTTCTTCCACATGGGAATCACTTTTGCTACATTTTTTGTTGTAGGTATGTTGATATCAAGGTGGGTGTTGTAATTGATGATATTTAGTATAGTCACAATGAAGTGAACATCGTTGGAAGAAAGACGAAAAAAGCAAGCCATTGATGGATGACCATTAGATGATCTCATCTCAAGGTAGCGAAGATGATCTCATCTCAAGGTAGCGGTAACTGTAACGTTTGTTTTTCATCCCATCAGTGCAACATGGTTGCACGACTTTATATCACAACCATTTTTTGTTAGAGCATTTAAGGCCATTTTAATGGGATTTTAGGTCACTTATGACTTAGTTCTTTCTAATTTTCTCTATAGTTATTCGTTGATGATCAGTTTATCGATTTTTCAATTATTTACTTGTAAGTCATTTTGTTGATGTAATGTGGTTTGATTTGTTGCTCATTTAAATATGTGGTATCTTAGTACATTTCTTTTTCGTTGTTAGACATGATATCATGTTTTTGTATCTTAGTTTGTTATTTGCTTTTGGGAACGGCCTATACTACTTTTTGTTACTATCCATCTTCATATTAATATATAATAATAACATGTGAAATCTATTAATTTCTTTTTTAATCTTCTTTTTTATTTTAATATATGTCTTGTCTAATAAGTAGAAAATTTAGTAGAAACAAAATATAGGAGTATATTTGATTTCTCTTTTAGTACTTTTTTTTTATTATATTTTTTCATGAATATATTAGATTGTCGCGGTGGTCGTTTGCAATATTTTCATGAATATATTAGATTGTCGCGGTGGTCGTTTGCATATGTCATAGGGTCCCCAATGGCAATCTCTTGTGATACAATGGTTTATATTTTAATGTTAAAATTATATATTTGTCGTTATCAATACCATCATATACTAAGCTTATTGTCGTTAATTCAGGAGCTGCTCTCATTTCTCTTTTATCAATTGAAGGCATTAACATAAATATTCATCACCTACACCTTTGATGTCATCCCTAACGTTTTGCTAGACAAATATATGTTTATTTTAATTTTGGGTAAATAGCATAAACGACACTCAATTTACACCAAAATTTTAATTTGACACTGTGTTTTTTTTTGTCTCAAATTTGACACTGCGTTTTTCAATTTGTTACAATTCTGACCACTTGAACGGTCAACCAGATTACATGCTGACGTGGCATGATGACGTGTCGGTTTTGATGACGTGACATGCTGACATGATATACTGACGTGTCAAAATTGAATTTTTTTTCTACAAAAAACACCATGTTTTCACTTTTTTTCGATTTTAACACTAAGTTTAATTTTTTCTTTTAATTTTGACACTATGTTTTTTTTTGCAAATCGAACATTATTTTTTCCAATTTTGTTCAATGTTGACAATTTTTTATTTGAAATCATATAAATATTTTTTTAATACATTTAAACTGTATAAATACGTTTTTTTTTTCAATTAAAAACCATATTTTTATATAAATACAAGATTTTTTTTACATTCAAACCATAATTTTATGTATAAATATGTATTAGTTATATAAAAACCGTATTTTATATTAAATACGCAACTTTAAAATGAGTTTGAAGGTTTGGAGGCGTGTAGTCGATCAAAACCCGGATGTCAAGTTTGCAACCCGTGAAAATTTTGCATCTTATTAGAAGCTTATACTTAGTTTGATTCTCATGATATAACTAATGCATATTTATACATTATGCTTTGAATATAAAAAAAACAAAAAAGAAACACCTTGTATTTAAATAAAAATGCGGTTTTTAAACGAAAAAAATATATTTATACGGTTTAAAATATAATAAAAAATATATTTTTATGGTTTCAAATAGAAAATGGTCAAAATTGAACAAAATTTGATAAATGATGTTCGATTTGGAACAAAAAAACATAGTGTCAAAATTGAAAGAAAAAATTAAACTTAGTGTCAAAATCGAAAAAAATGAAAACTTAGTGTTTTTGGGGAAAAAAAATTCAATTTTGACACGTCAGCATATAATGTCAGCATGACACGTCATCAAAACCGACACATCATCATGCCACGTCAGCATGTAACCTGGTTGACCGGTCAACTGGTCAGAATTGTAACAAATTGAAAAACACGGTGTCAAATTTAAGACAAAAAAAACACAGTGTCAAATTAGAATTTTAGTGTAAACTGAGTGTTTTTTTATTTTTTTTATGCTATTTACCCTTTAATTTTTATCGAAAGAGGACATCTCCATGTAATCAAACCATTGACTAGTAGATCAAATACAAGTAAATCCAGATGATCAATTTACAACAAAGCTTTTGTAATTTCTTTTCACATCTCAAAAACTCAAACAATTCAAGAAACGGATAATCCGTATACCCAACGATCGGATCCTCTGTGTAAAATGTATCTCTATTATGCTTGTTAAGTGGAGCATCAAGCTCAAATCTTTTAGGTAAATCAGGGTTTGCCAAGAACAATCGACCATAAGCAACAAGATCTGCACGATTCTGAGCTATAGCATCATTACCATCTTCCTTCTCGTATCCACCAGCAGCAATGAAAGCATCATTAAATGCCTCTCTCATGGGTTCCAAACTTACTGTGCAATCGCTTCGTTCTTCCATAGCTTCCATTCTTGGTTCCACCATGTGGCAATAGAGAATCCCGTATTTGTTTAGCGATTCAGCCATGTAAAGACCTAGAGCTTCTGGGTTTGAATCTCCTGAATCCATGTAATTCGAGAAGGGTGAAAGCCTGATTCCAACTCTATTTGCCCCAATTTCGTTTACGATGTTTTCCACTACTTCTAACGCAAATCTGCAACGATTCTCTATTGAACCACCATACTCGTCAGTCCGATCATTGATTTCATCTTTCAAGAACTGATCGATTAGATAACCATGAGCCCCATGGATTTCAACACCATCAAATCCTGCAAATCATTTTTCGAACTTCATTACAAAAACGGAAAAGAAGAATTAAAAATCGGTCAAACTGACAAACTCCTTACACACTAACCCGCTTCAATAGCATTTCGTGCTGCAATTCTGAAATCATTAGCAATTATACTAATTTCGTTGGTGTTTAATCTTCGAGGAGGTAGAAATTCAGCCAAAACTTGGCCATTGCTTTCGATTAAAGGACTACATTTTTTGTCTGTAGAAGAAACGGGTGATAATCCAGCATTTGGCTCAAAACCTGCATTCAGAATCAAGAATTTAGCTTTTTAGATTGTGTTGAATAATCCATAATCAAAGACGATAAAGAAAAGAATCATCAATCATATGTATATATACTTTGATCGGAAACCCTTCCAGGGTGCCAAAGTTGACAAAAGAAGATGCCGCCTTTAGCATGAACAGCATCTACGATGGGTTTCCAGGCATCGATGTGTTCTTTTGACCATATACCAGGTACATTCTTAAACCTAAAACCAAACAAAACATCGTTTAATCCTTCAAATGATGTGTTAATGAAAGTAATATGTAGTTTAACAATTTTAATCACCCTTGAGCAGCAGATGAAATGATGGTGGCTTCTGCAATCAGAAATCCCCCTTTAGTGGTTCTTTGAGAGTAATATAAGATAGCATGCGATTGAGGAATGCTATTGTAAGATCTAGACCTTGTTAATGGTGCTAATACGATCCTGCAAATTAATCATCAAATTAGTGAATTACCACTTGAAGTCAACTTGTAAATCAATCATGCATATTGTGTAAGGTTTGAATCTTTATGAGTATGAATTAGACGAAAGATGTATGAACAAATATGGATTACTCTACAAAAGAGAATCAATTTACCTGTGAGCAAGTTGGAAATGGGCCATTTTGTATGGGGTTAGAAGTGGGATTTGGTCTTCCATCTTTTCCTTCTGATTATTCTCAAATGATACTAGGTCCATGGTTTATAATATGAGAAATTAAATATCCTTTATCTTATGAAATGGTGACATGTGTCATATTTTGATAAGAATAATAATATGTTAGTATACATGTCATCATTTTAAATGGATAATAAAATATGGAAGAATAAAAATAAAAGGATATTTAATTTCTCTTATAATATTAGTGACACAACAAAGTCTCTAATCCAAATCAATTTACTACTTTTAATGCATAAGATACGACTAGTATAGCACCACTTTAATGCATAAATAATCATTCTAATTTGGCAATATTATTCGTATTGATTATGAGATACAATTCTAGATATTTATTTTCTAAATTAGTGTATTTTCTAGATGAAACTATAACATCTTATTTGGCGTATGTTCTAATAAAAACTTTAAGTAGTGATTAAATAATAAATAAAATTTAATATAATCTGGTTCATAAAGAAAAACACTTGTAAATTATTCAATATTTTTAAATCGACGATTGACTATTGATTAAGTTGACATGAATATTTACCAACAAAAAACTTGTGGTTGAAAACAAAAATGAAAAGCATGCTAGCATTCTTTAGTTATTAATTTAGTTCTTTTTATTTGTGAACAATATATGTTGATTTTCGTAACTTTCTATGATTCATATGTTTTTATTTTTTAGAACAGCAGAAAAATCAATAAAGCAAAACTAACAAGAAGCTAGAGCACAATCCACAAACACATTACAGAACCACAAGCATAGGGCTTGTAGTTTATTATTAAAATACATCTCAGAAATTTAATCCAAAAAATTAACATAGAAAGAAATGCAAACAAAAATGTGTGTTTTATACGTTTGTTGGTTACAATGTTAAGATATAACACCAACTACAACGATATTACACACATGAATTATAAAACGTGTGGGGTGAATACGATTTAATAACTAGATTTAATTATTAAATTTTATATCGTTAAAATTGAAAAAATATATTTAGACATTTAAGTTATAGGTTATTTCAGTCTTGTAATTTCAAAAGTCCCGGCTTCATACGAAACATTTATATGTTCTTTTTTTTTTTTGAACCAGCAAATGAAATATATATATATATATATATATATATATATATATATATATATATATATATATATATAAAGAAGGACTCCCCAGCATGATGTTAGGAAAAACATACAATGAAAATTGAAACAGATGTAATGAAAACAAGATGAAGTACAACCTAATGAAAGGGTTTAAACACCATTCAGACCATCTAATTGCTTCCGTTTTGCCCCTGTATTTTTCCCAAGTGAACATTGTAGAAATAATAAGATCTGCCACTTTAGATGGATGCGTCCTTTTGTTGTTAAACACCTGTTCATTCCGTGATTTCCAAATGTTCCAAACAACTGCATAACAGATTCCTAGCAACCTCCTTTTTTCGGACAATTACCCCAATTTGAAGCAAAATCAAGAACACCATGAATTGAGGAAAATTTTGTCTGTTGGACATTACACCATTTTAAAATCCAGTTCCATATCGTTTGAGCATGCGAGCATTGAAACAGCACATGGTCCGGTGATTCCTCCTCATCACCGCATTGACAACAGGTTGTAGAATTCACATTGACCCCTCTTGTCGCTAGGGCTTCTGTGGTTGGAATTCGACCCTGTTTTGCACGCCAAATAAAAGTATTTACTTTAATCGGGACCTCTTTCACCCATTCAAATCTTCCAATATTAACTGGAATGCAATTATCCAATTTTTTCCTCAAAGCGTTGACCTGATAGCCTCCTGTGGTTGTGAGAGGACATCTTCAATCCACTACCCCATTCATTGATTGATTTTTAAGCACCATCCCAAGAGTAATTCCGCATTTATCCAAATCCTTTTGTGAGCACGCGATATTATTCCAAACCCCGGTCAGAGTTTTTAAAGAAAAGATGTGGTCCGGTTTGCCCGCCAGATTATGCATACTTGAAATTGATTTTGCCCAAATCGACTCAGGTTCTGATCTGAACCTCCACCACCATTTAATGATCAAAGCAGTATTGAAAGCCTTTATCGATCCAACTCCTAGACCTCCTGCTGTCTTGTTAGCAATGATTTTATTCCAAGATACCCAATGAATCTTGGACTGACCTTCTGAACCACCCCACAAGAACCAACGCCTCAACTTTTCTAATTTGTCAATGATACCTGTAGGTGCAACAAAGAGAGACATGAAGTATGTAGGAAGGTTCCTGAGGACTGACTTTATGAGTGTTAATCTCCCGCCAAAAGATAAAGTCTTCGATTTCCAATAGGTAAGTTTATTTTGAAATCTTTCAATCACCGGTTGTCAATGTTTCTTAAGACGCATGTTGGCACCCACTGGTACCCCGAGATAGTTAAATGGAAGAAACATTTATATGTGGTTTTCAAATTTCAGTCTTTAGCAATAAATACGCTCCCTTGATGACGAGACACAAAAAAATAAATTCGGGAAACAATATACGAATATTGGACTCGTCGTCGTGTAATATTATTATGCTATGCTAATCATGCTTTCCTTTGTAAACAAAACCTATAAATAAACCTAAAAATGGACAGTAAGGCTACCCGGAGTGGATCCGTTATCGAAGGCGTTATGCGTGTTATCGATGTGAACACCAAGAGTGGCGTGATGGGCGTGGTCGTGGTTGGCTATGGCTCTCTCTCTCTCTCTCTCTCTCTCTCTCTCTCTCTCTCTCTCTCAAATGTACAGTACGTAAGGTGATGTGGAGTGACCATTTCCTAGGTATATGGTGGGGAAGTCGGGAAATGGTAGTGATGTTGCGATTAGGTGAGAACATTTTTGGAGTGATCAACTAGTAACCACTTCTGATAGCCCAATGTGATTAAGCATCTAAGACCAACCAAGAAACTACAAACGGGAAAAAGAAAACCCTACTGTCATATAGGGATCTTTAGTGTACAATATCGATAGTGTAAAGGGTAATGAAGTATAGAATCTAATTAAAAATTAATAGACTAAATTACGTAAATAGTCATATGGTTAAAAAAAATTCAGTCTCTAATATTACATTTTGTTTTTTATTACATAATATTCACCATGATGTTCAACCATCTAAAACCATTACAAATATTGATCATCGTTACCACCATTCACCATCATCCACTACCTAATGAAATCCCTAACAGTGATTCATCCCCCTTGATTAACCTTTGTTATTGAATAAACCAATCCCCGACAATTGGTTCATTTATGTATGTCATCTTTGTTAAAAAAATCCGGGTATTAGAATGCTTGCATCAATGAGAGTTGTAAAAAACACTTTCAAAGTAAAGCATTTCGAAGGTACACTCGAAAATCTCTAATCGGATAAAACTCAAAGTTCAAGAACAGAGAACGAAGATGATGATATGATATTGTGTGTGCCATAAAATGATTAAAAAAAAACGAGGATATTATCCTTATCTGAAAACTGAAAAATTGTCGACAACTTCACATCCACCATAACTTGTCATAAAATTGTCACTAAAAATGGGTTCAAATACAAGATCACAAAAGTAGGTTTAAGACATAAATTCGGATTTCAAATACAACTCGACTCCAACTAAGCGATCAGCCCCTTGGGCACTCGCTTCAAGCGACGCTGGCCTCGGACCCCTGTCGGTTTAGGGGCTTCACCCCTAAATAGCAGTGTACTTTCAACCATGATAAACTTGAACAAATATGCACCCCACACTATCCTAACTTGTTCAATATTTATCAAGGCAACAATGATCAACAAATTAATTTCATTACACTTAAATAATATCAGTTATACAAATCACCAACAATCGTTTGCTGATTGCTCTCGGTGTGACTTATATTAGGCTTTAGGCTTTGAGTGTCATTAGTCGATATATGGCAAACACACGTGAAAATTGTAGAAGCAATTTAATGGATTTTTATATCTTCGTGGTACATTTCGTGCTTGTTTGGAATTTGGTAAATTTTGAGAATGGCTATCTAGTATTGTCGATTCAAACTATATAGTGTATTTGTCTATGGTCTCTCACTAATTATGTTTTCACCATTAGTGTTTGTGTCGTGAGCTTGAGAGCTACCCTGCAATCTAATGTAGCTTTGTCAACTACTAAAGCACAGTATCTGGCGAATTTTGAAGCATGTACAAAATCTATTTGGTTAAAAGGTTTATATGAGGTCATATAACTAAGCTTAGGTGTGGATTTTGATGACACTAGTTGTGCTTAAATATTATAAAAGTCAACATCCATGGTGTTCTTTTATAATTCCAACAGTAAAATAGGAGCACTACACAACGTTCTTGTTTACAAATCAATATTTTAGCAGATAGCATAAAAAATACAAATAAAAAGATTGGAAGTAACAAAATAGAGCATTAAACAAGGATGTGGCTACCGATATGTTTTCTGGGGGGAACTAAATCATCTTTTAGTAATAGAAACTTCATAAATTAATAATATAAAGAAACCAAGAAAGCATAGGAATATATATATATATATATATTACACTAAAAGTAATCCGGTTGAAGAAGAAGTAGATTCATTTAATCGAGAAGTAACCAATTCAGTTTAATAACAATTACATAGCTAACATAATCAAAGTCACATAAATGAGGTTAGATGGAAATCGAGTAAATCAACTACATGAATACATTTTTCATGACTTAATGATAATAACAAGAGTTTGTAAATGAGAAAATCAAAGGCTTTAGAACGTGAGCACAAGAAAGTATACTATACATCTTTTGGATACCAACCCAACATCAAGATAACAACTAGTAATCATATTTTTTATCATATTCATTATATATAATATCATTCTTTTTCATTATTGACATTGATATAACCATAATCCTAGTACTTACAAATCACAGATGACTGACTATAGTCACTAGACCCATCATGTACTTTACTTACTAACTCACCTTTCTAACACCCTCCACTATCCGGTTCAATTGAACTTAAAAGCCCATTCCCTCTGAGCTGTGTGCAATGCTCTTCTGCATCTGGCTGCCCACACACAATCACCACAGACAACCCATTGATGTGTGCCTCTTGCATGATATTAACTGCATTGTCAACTGTCATTCCAGGTATAACCTTCATCAACACTTGCACAACATATTCCCTCTTGTTGTAGTTGTCATTGTGTAGCATCACACGATATGGTGGTGCCATTTTCCTTGATTTCCTAAAAAAAAAAAAAAAAAAAAAAAAGGTAAATCCCCCTCATATGCTTTATTAACAGTAATTAAGAATGAATATATGAAAGTGATACAATACCTCAAGTCAAACTCAGACTCTCTTCCAGGAGTTGTTTTCTCTATTACTGGCTTATCTAGCACCCCAGCACCCTTTTCCAGCCTTGGAGGCGCCATTGTCATAACTGTGATCCATTTTGTGCTTTTTTTATGAAGCAGGTATTTGTCCCCTGTATATGGTAGAGTAATCCGTTTATGACAATTATTTCTTAGAGCAAACTAACAATTCCGATAACAAATAGGGGATGGATTAGGAATGAAATGTTCGGATGTCTGTGAAGTAAAAAGAATGATTCTTGGTTAAGATTGAGCATGGGTTTAAGCGATACAGACAGACCCACGAGATACTCGGTTTTCTTTCAAAATGCATGCAACCTCAACCAAATACATTGTAAATCATGTAGCAATCACACGATTTTGTTAGGTGTTTGTTCTGATCTGGATTGTTGCATCATACATAATTAAATCGATAGCTTCGTATGCTTATTTTTGACTAATTAGGATTGTTTAAAAGCCAAACGAAGTGCGCTGAAAACCCTAGGAAGTCGATTATGTCGAAGATTAATATCATCAACGATAGAAATAGAATCATGTTGACTCCATTTACCTAAATCATAACCGAAAAACCTAAAAGGCATCATCATTACTAAGCGAAACAGCTAGTTCCAGCCACTTCCTGGATCAATTAAGCGTTAATATGCATCAATTGAAGACACAAACAAACCTATCTCAGTAATCGACGAATCAACTTACACATACGCACAGAGAGATATATATGTTCATACCTGGTTTGGATTGAAGAAGGCCATGGTTAGGGGAAGGAGCGAGTCGACGGCTAATGGCAGTCTCCATTGCCAAATCCCTCAATCTCTGTATCATCTCACCACACACACAAACACTGTTTTCCCAAAAACCAAATCCTTTTTAATGACATATAAACTTTGCCTGTCTGTGGCCTTTAACTCTTTGATTTTTTTTCTTTTCCGATTTTTTAATATTAAATATTTCAATAAAAATAATTTTATGGTTCAGTAATGAAATTGGAAAATGAAGGGAGAAAAACTAGTGGTTGGTGAGTGGTTGTTTGAGAATGTTGTGGTGTTACCAAGTACACTTGATTAGGGTGAGGTTCAAAATGGTTGCTGAATTTGAGCCCTTGATTATAATACTAAGCTTTGCCCAACAACATCCACGGTTACGATTGGTGAAAAATTATATTATTCAACTCAGTGTAAATTACGGTTTTGGTCCATTATTGTTGGTCGTTATTTTAAAATTTTTAATAACATCGATCCTTATTGTTTATTGTTGGTAACTAGCCGTTTACCCGCGCCAAGCGTCAGGCGACAAAGAGTTTCTTTCGGAAGATAGTTTTAATGTGATAATTAGTTTCCTTTAGACGTGAGCTATTCATTGCGGCCTTTTGGTAGACTATTTTGTATCGAATAGTTCATTTCAACGGATAGTTTCTAGCTAGGTGCATAGTCATACAATACGGTAGAAGTTGAGTATACATTTGGAATTTCATCTAATAGTTTATACTTGATTTTACAATATATAAATTACAACAATCTGCAATCATGTAGTTTTGTATATTTATAACATGTCCAATATATAAACTACACCAATCTGCAATCATGTTGTTTCATCTGCTAGCCCTGCATTAAACATCAAATGAGCATATAAGATACATATTTGAACAAATTGTAAAATAATAAGTTGTTGATTGTACTTTGTTAATCATATAAAACTTCTTTGTACACAACGTTTGATGTATATATTCCATCATTATCAAACGTTATTTTCGGCTTTACTAATATTTTGGTATTGACGCGTGATATTCATTTGGACAATGCCACATAAAGTTAGCCATGTGAGAATACCGATTCTGGTAGATAAACACCTACGTTTTGAATTGTTTGTCCTTGAGCTTTATTGATTGTCATATATAAACTAAGCTGAATTGGAAATTGCTTTCTCTTTAGTTTAAATGGGAACATCTCATCGTCAGGCGGACATAAAAGAATTTTTGGAAAAAACACTATTTTTCCAGCATGCTGACCAAGAGCTATCTCTGTATCAATGACATTTTGTTGGAAAGCTCAACATATCAATCTGGTGCCATTACATAACCCATTTGAGGGATCGATATTTCGCAAAAGTATTACTCGACGCCCAGTTTTTAACCGAAGATAATGAGGGGGTATAACACTAACATTTAGCGAGTTCAAATATTCCATCGGATATAAGTTATTTTAGTCGTCTTCCGCTTCATCAAAACTATAGTAAACTTTTTGCTCGCCAGAAAATCGTTCGATCAACTTATTATTAATCTCATCAACACTTTCATTTTTAGTTGACAATATCGCTCCCGAAATGATAGATTTTGAATCGGCACCGTTGGCTTGAAAAGAATGAAATATTGCATCAATCAGAGCGTCCACTTAATTAGTTTTATCAGTGTATGGAATGGACATGTTATTAGGTATACGAATAAAGGTCTCGTTCAATGTTTCCTCCTTTCCATCACCGACTCGTAATAAAAAATCAGAAAACCATGGGTTATTTACCGCTCTCATGTTGACCGTTCATGATTCTACAAAATTGTTCAATGTTATTTCACAAAATGTACTTTCTTAATAAATATCATAGGATGACTTTAGAAACTCAAGTACCATTATTTTTTTGATTTTCTGTTATGATGCTATAAATGTTAATCATTGATTATTAAAAAAAATCAAGTCCACATTAATAAAAAGGTCGGCATGTTAATCACCTAAAATTCTTTAGACGGGTAAACATTTGATCCCTTCGGTTCTAATGAACGAAGTTACCTGATGTTGTATGTCTAATTGTTTTGTTGTGGTTTTGCTAGTTTTTCGCTAGCTTTTAATTCATTATGCCGTTAAAAAAAATCCATGTAATGTTTAAAGTTAGCAACTTTGAAGTCCATAACAAAGTTAGAATTAATACTCTAGGGCCATGGGAAGTAAAAAAATCTCAAATAGACAAAATTACATGTATTAATTAGTAAAAATGAAATTACACATGCACAAAAAAACAAAAAAATATGTTGAAGTCTCTACTTTTACAGTCATAAAAACACAAAGACACATTCACTCAAATACACAAGCACATAATGTCCCAACATATACATATACAAACCATGCATATATAGGATGTCACAAACAAATACATACACACATATATACATATTATATACATGTATTATTTGAGACAAAATAATTTTATCAGTTCAAACAGAATAAGTTTATCACTTCTATTAGACTAAGAAACTTTATGATGTATATTATATATTTTGTAATTCTCATGGTACTAAACTGTAACATTTGTAAGTATATATATATATATTCTAGTCAATGAGAAAGAGCGAGACACGTTGAATATTTTACAATCCATTATGGTATCAGAGCTATACCTCTGATCTCCCCAACAACCCTAGCAGCCGAAAACTCAAGTCACGGCTCCAGTTACAGCATCGATTCCCTTCTCATCTTCTTTTCGTTCTCAGCACTTGTAATTCTATCTTCATTAGTAGCATTCCATCTTCCAGTCACGGCTCCAGTTACAGCATCGATTCCCTTCTCATCTTCTTTCCGTTCTTAGCACTTGTAATTCTATCTTCATTAGTAGCATTCCATCTTCCAATCAGAACCTGATTTTGCTTTCTTTGCATCTGATTTATCTGCATTATCTCCTCATTCATCTTCTTCTCTAACGCTCGAATGGCTAATCTACATCCTGCTCTTACAGTTACCAACATCAGGAATTTCATTCCCACTGTGTTGGACCAGGATGATGGACAATACACGACATGGGTGGAACTCTTCAAGATCCACTGTCGCGCCCATGATGTAATTAATCACATTATTCCCGCTGAAGGATCTTCATCTAAATCACCCAGTGATAAAGATAAAGAAAAGATGGATGACAAAGTTCCATGGAAACGATTAGATTCTTTAGTTCTACAATAGATTCACAATACAATCTCTACGGATTTACTAATCACCATTCTCAAGCCAGATTCTACTGCTGAACAGGCATGGAAAGCCTTGGAGAATATATTCATTGATAGCAAGCCTTCAAGAGCCTTATACTTGGAAAACCGGTTCTCTAATGTCCGGTTAGAATCTTTTCCCAATGTTTCTGCCTACTGTCAAGAGTTAAAAACTCTATCTGATCAACTCTCAAATGTTGATGCACCGGTTTCTAAGGATCGGTTGGTGCTACAATTGATTGCCGGTCTTGGTGAAAAATATGAAAACATAGCAACACACTTGCAACAAACCTCTCCCCTGCCTGATTTTTATACAGCAAGGTCCAAACTTATTTTGGAAGAAACCCGAAAAGCTCACATTGCAGCCACATCTTCTACTGCGCTTCTTGCTGCCTCAGAAAAAGCTCCTGCAGCAGCCCAACAATCCATCTCACACAACACAGGTAGTCGTGATAGGTCTGGTTATGATCAGCAACAACACCACACAGGAGTCCGTGGACAGCAGGATCGCGGTGGAGGTCACTCAGGCAGAGGTGGGCGCGGACGTGGCCGGGGACGTGGTCGCGGACGTGGGAACAATTTAGGTCAGGGTAACTACTTTTATCCACAAACTCCTTGGAATGGTTGGAACTCTAATGGTTGGAATCCTACTTGGCAACAACAACAACAGTGGAAAGCCCCTCCTGCACCATATCCTACCACACCAGGTAACAAGCACCCTAACCGAAACACATTTGCAGGTGTTCTTGGCAACCCACCTTTTGGTTATGCAGACTCATATACACCAACAAACATCGAGCAGGCTATGTACACCATGACTCTCAATCCTGATCATAATTGGTATTTGGACTCCGGGGCTACAAATCACATGTCAAACAATACAGGTAACATTTCCCGTTATTTCAATAATGGTATACAAAACAACATAGTTGTTGGCAACGGTTTTCAAATCCCAATTCATGGCACCGATCACACAACCTTACCACTACCCTTTCCACCTTTACAACTCAAAAATATTCTTCACGCACCTAAGCTAATCAAAAACCTTTTGTCTGTTCGTCGTTTAACCACTAATAACAATATATCCATTGAATTTGACCCTTTTGGCTTTCTTGTGAAGGACTTTCAGACGCGGATTCCTATCCTCCGATGTAACAGCACTGGAGATCTCTATCCTCTATCACCGCCATCTACTCAAGTCACTCCTCCTTCCACTTTTGCTGCCCTGTCTCAAGACTTATGGCATCGCCGCTTGGGGCATCCTAGTTCATGATTATTGCGTGTTTTGAATAAGAACAACTTTATTTCTGTTGGCAAATTTTCTGATAAACATTTATGTCAATCTTGTGTGTTTGGTAAACATATTAAATTGTCTTTCTATAGTTCTTTGACTTACACCTCAATGCCATTTGACATACTCCATAGTGATTAATGGACCTCCCCGGTTGCAAGCACCGGAGGTCATCGATATTACCTCTTTTTCCTTGATGATTATACCAACTATCTTTGGACATTCCCATTAAGTAATAAATCACATGTCTATTCCACTTTTCTAAATTTCTCCAAATTTATCAAGATTCAATTTGAGTGTGATATTAAATCATTTCAATGTGATAACGGAACCGAGTACAATAATAAATCCTTTCATTATTTTTGTACTAAAAACGGAATGGTTTTCCGTTTTTCATGCCCCCACACTTCACCACAAAATGGTAAAGCCGAACGTAAAATTCGATCAATTAATAATATAATTCGGACTTTACTTACACATGCCTCTCTTCCCCCCACCTTTTGGCATCATGCACTCCAGATGGCCACATATCTTCTAAATATTCTACCTACTAAAACCAAAAACCATTCCACTCTTACATACTTGCTATACCGCAAATATCCAACATACCATCACTTAAGAACCTTTGGATGCCTCTGCTATCCCCTATTACCTTCCACTTCCATTCACAAACTTCAAAATCGATCCACCCCGTGTGTTTTCCTTGGTTACCCCTCTGATCATAGGGGATACAAATGCTA